GGGGTGGAGGTAGGGACTGGTATTTCTTCCTCTGCAGTCCTCCTTTTGAGAGCTTGTACCCACCGGTCCCTCTGTTTCAGCATGGCTTTTTAGTAAACGGGAGTCCAGAGCCGTCTCTTGGTTAGTTCCTCTCTGAGGCTATTCTGTGTGCTCGACAGCTCACTGAAATAACCCAGTAGAAAAGAAAAAAATGACTTCTCAGCTTAAAGAAACAGATACAAAGCGAGCACTCAGAGTACGACTGGTACATGGCACCTTCTCCTCTCTTCAGCAGCAAACCACCTGTGAAAGCAAAACACAACACCAACGTCCTGTGAAGGATTTGCTGAAACAAAACCGATTCCCTTTCTTGAACAGCCTGAAGCAAAGCTCCTTCACTCAGGGTGACGTCCCCAGGCTCCAGCTCGCCTGCCTCCTGCCCCCTCAGCATGCACTGACCGCTTATCTTGGATGCTGTATGAGCTCCGAGCACTGCCAGGGAAAGCATCGCTCTCTGGCTCCAGGGGGAACCTTCTCCAAGCCCCACATTCACTACTCTAACAAGGCTTTGCCCGATCTCAAACCAGGTCTACACACAGGAGAAGAAAAAGGCTCCTACCTCACTGTGACAGCCACAGCAGTGCTCTGAAACCTGCTCCTCCTTACCACACACTGAGCCAGCCCAGCCTCTGAACAGCCAGCACAATCAAGAGGGCTTTTCTCTTCAGCACAGACTGGTGATTCTGAGAAAACCCAAATGATTTCAAGATGCGGTGAGTTTCCCTCCTTTGGTGAGAAGGCATTCACCCAGACAGGCCCTGCCTCCCTGGCTGGTGCTTCAAGGCCTGAGCCCATTGTTGGCTCTTACACCTCCTCCTGGACTCCAATATGCAGGCAGGTTATTTCCCCCGGCCTGCTGGGCTCCTGCACGTCTCCTCGCAGCAGTAACAACACAGAGCAGACCGAAGGGCAGAATCCTGATCCACCCTGCCATCTCCTGTCCCCTCAGTGGCTGCTCCCTTAAGCCTACTAAACCCCCAGGATGCACAGCTGAGCCTTGCAAGGAGCAGCCAGCACAAGCACACGTTGCACCTGGTCTGCCAACCACGGAGAACCAACGCTGACCACCCCTCCACCTCAGGAGGCATCTCGAGTCCTCCAGCCAGCACCAGCAGGCTTCTGCCTCCTGCAGAGAGGGGAGGACATCCCACCCTTCTGCGCTACCCAGTCGGAAAGAGGGGAGGAAATGGAAATGACTGAGCTAAGGTCAGAGGGGGGCTGCAACTGGGTGAGGACCAAGAGCTTGTCCTAGACCTAGGCTTTAGGACAGAGCCTCCCTTCCCCAGGGCGCCATGGCACAAAACTGCAGCCGCCTGGGCTTGGCTGTGGAGCAGCTCACGACACCGCTGAAGCAAGCCCTGGAAGTGAAACCACTCCTAACGTGTCCAAAACACACCAACGGCTGCCTCTGGAGGGAGCTTCAGACCGGCATCCCCCACCAAGGCAGAGCAACAGAGTACAGCAGCCTCGGAGACCTCCCTGAGGACGTTTCTGTTCTAGATACAACTTGCAAGAGGGAGAAGCAGACTTGGTAATTTCAGGTGGGCCAGATATCGTTAAGCCTCAAGACAGAAAAAACAGGCCAGGCTTTAAGAAGGGGCTGCAGTTGCAAAGAGTGAATTTGCAGGAGATCAGATGAATTGCACATGCGCTCATGTAGATGGCAAAGACCCAAAGCTCACCTTTACCACCACCGCTGCCACAATTCCCAGCAGGGCCAGGATGACCAGTCCAGCTCGGCCCCTGTTAAATCGCTTCAAGAGGAAGAACCTGGCCCAATCCACCTTCTTCTGGCTGCTAGGTGGGTACCGCAGTTTGTTTGTACCCTCCATCTTCAGGTCCTTGATCAAGCAGGC